TCAGAGAGCAGAGACCCGGGGAGCGATGAAGCTCCGGAGCACCATCCACCGTCACCTTGGAGACAAATAGGTGGAAAGGTAGCTTAGTGACTGTTGCTAACCAACGGGGCTAGCAGGAAGCTCGACTAGCTAAGTAGCCAATATAAGTTACTGTTAGCTGCTTTAAAACTACAAAATGCATCAAATACAAGCAAAAAACAGCAAATTGTAAAAATGTAGTTTGACTACTACGCAAACTGAAATACTGACAGCTAGCCGACTAGCTTGCTTGCTAAGCAACCAATTTAACATCAGCTAACGTTAGCTTACTTACCTGTCGTTATGAAGGGTGAGCGACAACAGCGCTACATTCTCGCTTTCCTCTGTGTGGAGTAACTTTGCACGTTGAATTCACCTTTGCAGAGGTGAATTCAACGTATTATAAACGCAACGACAGAATGCCCAACAGATCAACACAAGCTACTGTTATTCTCCCCGAGCTTCAGCTGACTGACAATCTCTGTGAACGTGAAGGCTGTCAGCCAATCAGCGCTCGTGTTAACCGTGGATGGTGCGCCTGTTTTAAGTATCAGAACAGCCCGTATGGCGGGGGCGTTTAGTTTGAACGTTGTTGTGGGTGCACTGGGGAAAAGACGGACCAGCTGGGAGGCAACGGGCTATAATCAAGCGTACCACGAGATAAAGGATCACGCCTCTCTGACGATTGTTTTATTCTCTCGTATATGGTTTAAATTGCTGTCTGACTGTTTTCGGTTTTGTTTTAACGTTACAGAGGTGTCTTAAAGTATAAATACAAACTAAGTTTTTATTTTTCACATTTTACACAATGTCAACTTACATTTCAGCCATATTCAACCCAGATAGCGTATAGGCTACAATTAAGGGCTATTATTAATTCCTAAAGGCTTGATATTCAGAAAGGAAACTACATTTAAAAAAAAGAAAATACGCTCAGAGTAATAGGGTCACAGCAATTAAGCAATTTTAATATATGGATTTATAATCAATACATTAATGGCAGCAGATCACTTTTCATCAGTGGCTCAAACAATCTGACAGATACATTTGATATTTGTTGATTTATGTTCATTTTGGGCTACTGGCATGCATGGATTTGCTTTCTGCACAGCAATTTAAAGTCCAGTTGTGATTACAACGCTTGTGCAAGTATTTTCACTTGGCAGGTGGTGCCTATGTTAAATCCAACCTTTAAATCCAACCAAACATTGTCTTTGTGGCATAAATCACCCCTTCACAATATGTGGGAAATGAGACCATTTTTTTTACAGACACTGCATTCTATCAATAAACAAATTGTGTGTGATACAGAGAGAATCCGAAAGGATTTGAGCATCATAACCAGCCTCTATCCGAGCTTTCAGAGATGCTAACACATGATCAGTAAAGTGTGCAAAAGGTTATGGTTAACGTTAAAGGGACAGTTCACCCCAAAATCTAAATATGTTTCCTCTGCTGTTGAATAGTTCCATTATATTCGAAATAAGGCAGACACAACTAGGCAACTCACAGCAAAACAATCTAGCTTGATAAAAAAAACACTATACAGGTAAGAGGTACATATTGGGGTAAGCTGGCCCTTTAAGGCATCCTTGAATGTGACAGTAAGTCTGGTCTTAAAGGTACTTATGCAAGAATATGAAACTACTCAATGGACAAAGGGAAGTGATTCCTTATTTTATTCTTTGAATCGTGGTTATGAAGTACAGATGACGACCCCTCTAATCCACTAGGGGTTCCTTTTCCTGTTTGTACGGCAGGATGTTGATCATCAGCTGATGAGCCACACCTGAGCCTGGTGTGGTTATAAAAGCTCACCACCTTGATTGATATTTCTCTTCCTCGGCTGACACAGCAGCCATTCTGTTTTTGGTTGAGTCAGACATTTTCACACATCCACACGTGCTTACATTATTGATTACTAATTTTCCACATTTGCTCTTACTTTGTACATAAGTGTGCTTATTTATTATTTTTAACTTGTCTGGTCTCCAATTTTTTCTTGCATTCTTTGAGCCATGCTGTAACACCGAGAATACTAAAACCCTAAAAGTAATCCTTTATGTTTGTGTTTTTCTTACATTATGTCACTTGTAATATCTTACCAAAGAAATAACTCTATCGCTGTGCACCGTTCTTTTTCATTGTATTTATGTAATTCTTTTATATCAAATGTTTGTGATTCAATTTATATTAATCTTCATTAAATCTGGACAAACTCCCAGTGATGAGCTCAGCTGCTCGTGTATTATTGTGTAAAAATAACACTTTCCAGTTCTTGTTACAGCCATTTTCAATGATCTGATAACCGCTCCCTCAGTCCAGTCTTTCCGTCTGTGTCTGACACACGCATGCTGACATCAGATTTCCCTTTTCTCCACCAAAACAGACAGCTGTGTGTGCAAGTTACTTCCCCTTACAATATTCATGTATCGAAACCAGGCAAAAGGTTTCACAAGTCTTGTTGCAAGTACATTGTAAGCTGTTTAAGTCTTTAAAGATTTCACTATATCGTTAAAATGTACAGTTTCATTCCACTTCAGAAATGTGGGCGATTGAATCTTTGGTTTGTCTTGGCTATATTTACTCAGTTACTGCTACTTTGCTCCACCCAGATTCAATCTGATAGCACAGGAAGCTTTTCTGAGAAATGAGATTATGTTTGAGTGTGTTTTTTAATTTGAAATATGATTTTACATTATATTACAGTCATTTAGCAGACGCTTTTATCCAGTGACTTACAATTCAGATTCTATCACATTTCTAAACCGTAGGAAACCGCACAGCTACGGGAACAATTTTGGGGTTAGTTGTCTTGCTCAAGGACACATCGACATGCGACTAGCGGAGCCAGAGATCGAACCGCGGATCCTCTGGTTGAAGGATGGCCCTGCTCTCCACTTAGCCACAGTCGCTGATTTCGCAACAATTATTACAGCTGCAAGCAGCGATGATCGGGGTATACTGGCGGGACAGCGGTTGACGCAGGCGTGAATCCCTGTGCCCATCAAACACCTTCTGTATGAGTTAGACGTTTTTTTTTCTGCGTGGATTCTGTGGCGCTGGACATTAAATATTGTATGAAGGTATATTTGTGTCTTTATTACGCAAACAAAAAATAAATGTTTTAAAAGCAAGATCCACTTTAAATTTAGTCAGTAAACTCTTAAGACCTTAGTGATTAAAATGTATTAAAAGCTTTATGTTTAATGGAATGGCGTAACCGTGGCGTGGCGGCCATTTTCACATGATTCGCCATTAAAAAACAAGCTGATGTAACTCCACTGGACTTGCTCAAATCTGTCCCAAACGTGGCATGCTTGATAAACGCATTGGCTTGAGGATGTGAACAAGCCGACTTTCACTCATAGTCATGGTGCCATCTACTGGCAACAGGAAGTCAGCATTATGCAGCAAACCACTTTCTGCGACATTTTCATGATGTGTTCTACACTTGATGTAGAGCAGCATAATGCATTTTGCGCATGTTCTCTAGCGCCACATTTGCAATACTATGAAGGTATATTTGTGTCTTTATTACGCAAACAAAAAAAAAAGTTTTAAAAGCAAATTTCTCGCACTGCAATCAAAAATCAAGTTTGTAAGTGAAAATATATAAACTGAGAATAATTTATTTGTTAGTTTTGCTAATGAAACTAGAATTTCTGGTTAAAAAAATTAAATCTTTGGTTAAAAAATAATATCTTTGGTTAAAAAAAAAAGCTTTGGTTTCAAAACGAAAAGCTGAGTTGAGTTGTTTGTTTGCGTAATAAAGACACAAATACACCTTCATGGGCGGGGCATACGCTGCTGAATGTGCCGGGAGTTTCTATTGGTCGGTTTGACTTGGCTCTCGGTATCTGCATCCATTAAACACGGACGGGAGGTTACGGTGACATGGAGGTAAATTGACATTATACTGCTCTGTTTTGTCAAAATGATTTTAAATGTAGCAGCACTTCACTTTGTTTTCATGTTGTTAGTGTCTCTTTTTTTAAAGAACGACATGGAGGGCTGCTGTGTTGACATGAAGCTCCGCTTTCTCGGTCGGAGAAAACTAAGCTCATAGGATTTATTTTAAATTGTGTCATACATGCGCAGCTAACCTTAGCTAACATAGCCATGCCTCAGGCAAAGTGCATGTAACGTTAGCCCACAGTGGGCTATTTTTTTTTTAACCAAAGATTTTATTTTTTTAACCAAAAATTCTAGTTTCATAAGCAAAACTAACAAATAAATTATTCTCAGTTTATATATTTTCACTTACAAACTTGATTTTTGATTGCAGTGCGAGAAATTTGCTTTTAAAACTTTTTTTTTTGTTTGCGTAATAAAGACACAAATATACCTTCATAGTATTGCAAATGTGGCGCTAGAGAACATGCGCAAAATGCATTATGCTGCTCTACATCAAGTGTAGAACACATCATGAAAATGTCGCAGAAAGTGGTTTGCTGCATAATGCTGACTTCCTGTTGCCAGTAGATGGCACCATGACTATGAGTGAAAGTCGGCTTGTTCACATCCTCAAGCCAATGCGTTTATCAAGCATGCCAAGTTTGGGACAGATTTGAGCAAGTCCAGTGGAGTTACATCAGCTTGTTTTTTAATGGCGAATAATGTGAAAATGGCCGCCACGCCACGGTTACGCCATTCCATTAAACATAAAGCTTTTAATACATTTTAATCACTAAGGTCTTAAGAGTTTACTGACTGAATTTAAAGTGGATCTGATCAATTCCAGAGGAGGAATTTGTTCATGTGTTGCACCTGGAAACGGCCAAAAATGCAGGGAAAAATATCCGACTTCCTGTTAGGTTTAGAGAATGGCTCAAACATTCTTATTTTTAAGTCTACATGTGATACACGTTCCTACCAAATTTAGTAAATCTAGTTCCAACATACTGCGAGGGCTGCTTCGTCAAATTTAGTAAGGACCAAAATAGTAGAGCCAAGAGGACTTGATATCCCTCATGTCTGATCTAGGAAGCTGGTCTGCGAGGAACAGCGTTGGGGTCGTCAATGGGATCAAGCTTGAAGTCAGTCGGTCGCAGCTTCATGACGCTTGTCTTCAGGGAGTACCACCATCCTCTCCAAGGGTACCAAACTACACCATCATCCGTCATCGCATTGTAGTACCCATTGGGGTAGTACATGCCATTAAGATGGGCTGAGTGACACCTAAGGATTGATAGAATTAGTGTTTTTTACTGTAATGAATAAATGTGAGCATCTTGCTGCATGAGAATATATAACAGAACTCGTACTTGTTGAACCACCAGCCTCCTTTGTCTTCCTGTGCGCAGTTTCCTTTGTAGTTGTCGTTGTCCTGGTCGTAGGTGCTGAATCGGACGCCCTGGTGACTGGCCCACTCTGACACACCAACCTCATATCTTCCAGACAGAGCATCTCCAACTGTACCTAGATAGGTTCCAAAGGTAAGTCGGTAGTGATCCTGTAGAGAGGGTGATATGAGCAGAGCTGCTCAACTTGCTTCAAATAAAAGCAATAGTTTGATATCTTTGGAAAATACGTGAAATTCTTAACGTTGGACAAAGCCGGGCTAACTGTTACCCCCTGTTTCCAGTCTTTACGCTAAGCTAAGCTAACCGGCTACTCAGAGTAGATAGACATGAAAATACATATTTGATCTAATTCTCAGCAAGAAAGCCAATCATTTCCCAGAATGTTGACGATTCCTTCAAGCTTGTACACAAGGCTGAAGAGGGAAAACTACCTTATACAAACACGTTTACAAGATGATTAGATGCACCAAATAACTATATCTGAGATGTATTGTTCCTTTCCTAAGCATTGTCAAATATTTCTATATTTTAACCCCAAAAAATATTTAATCTTATATCAAATTTTGTTTCTACATTTGAGTGCTCAGTCAGTATCAACACCTTTTCGTTGGCCACTTTGAAGTTCTTGTACTCGGCATAGCCCTGGTAACCACCAAAGTCTCCCAGGTTAATCCTCAGAGAATAGTTCCCTGTAACAGACAAACAATAAAAGCCTTCTGAAAATACAAAAAGAAGAATTATTCATTTTTTTGGAAGGTTCTTGCAGCTTGGGGGCAGCAGAACAACACTGATCATGTTGGCAAACGGTTGACTATTTACACACCCAACAGATATGGAGCAACATTAGCTTTCATTTGGAATCATGTTTCTGTACGTGATGAAAGTCCAAAATTCACTTTTCTCCTCGCTCTGTTTTTGGTCTCCACCAACTCCTGAGAGAAAGCTTCTAAATGCTCCTCTATGTTCACCAGCTATTCGTTAACTTGTCTTGCTGCTGTTTGTTGCTGAGAAGGTAGCATTGAGCGGGTTAATCCAATATTTTTTTTCTGCCAAAAAACAACTTCTTGCTGTTTGCTGGAAAGACGGTTGATAACAACGGTGAGCGTGACACAAAACAGTGAAGATGAGGGTTTAAAAAACCTAAACAATGAGCTGAAAGATGCTAAAACGCTCCGTAGAGCTGAGGGGAACGGCAGAGTCGGGTGATAATTCTCAGCAGGTGTGTCGCTGTGATGCCACATTTCACATTACAAGTAATCATTCATGGTAATATTGATTAGAGCAGCTTTAAATTTCACAATTTAAAAAATGTTTTTTTGGAGTGGTATCAACCTTGTGTGGTGATGTAGTGCAGGTTGTCATTTCCGAGCCAAAACTCAGCAGCCGTGTCTCCAAAACCATCTTTATACTCTGCCCACGACCTGACAGGTACAGATAGATAGATAAGATGCTTTTCATTTCATTATTTTACACTAGATAGCAGACGTCACAGACACACCTGTTAAACCTCTCCGTCCCATTGATCCGTCTCTGAATGACGATCCAACCACCTCCATCACTCATATCACAGTAGACTCTGACTGAGTGAGGGCTGCCGTAGGGTTTGATTGTGTAGAAACCACTGGATTTGGAGCCAGAACTGAAGAGCTGGGAGCAGTCTGAAACACAAACACACTGTCTGTATTTGGTGCAGCATCTGGCTCCCGTTTCTGCAATATGACACCTGAAACACGATATTTTAAGCTCTCAAATGTTGTTTTGGAGTCCTAAAGGCCGGGGCCCTGACCTGTGGACTCGTTGTCCTGGCTCTGGTTGGTTCTGGCTTTGTCCTCGATGCCCGGTTGGCTCAGCAGTTTCAGTCTGTGTAGGAGGACCTCTTGTTTCTGAAGCTGGCCCTTCAGAAGCATCTCCTGTTCCCGCAGACGAGCCACCTCCTCACTGCAACTGCCTGACGCCTACGCACACATTTGGATTACTGTATGTGTGAGGATCTTCACTAATATTCATTCCACAACTCTGAGATTAAATATACACGGAGTAAATATCTATTGTTTAATCCGTACAAAAAAAAAAACAGTATGTTAATATGGGAGGCTGAGGTTTGATGGGGATTATGCACCAAGTTTATCTCTTTGCAGTGGCTATCTCACAGTGACTACACAAACAAACAAGATATAACATGTTAATTAGTGAACTTTTTCCACTTTCAGACACAACCAGGCTAGCTCTTTCCCCCTGTTTCCAGTATTTCTGCTAAGCTAAGCTAACCATCTGCTGGTTCAAGCTTCATGTTTATTGTACAGATGTGAGAGTGGTTTCCACCTTGTCCTCTTAACTCCCAGCAAGGAGGCGAATAAGCGTATTTGCCAAAATGTTTAACTCTTCATTTTAAGAGAACACAACCAGACAAAATCACCTCACTTTTTAAGTGTTTCCTTATTTGCAACGTGGTGTCGACAGGTACACAAATACAACAACACTCTGACAACAACAAAGATATCACAACTACCATTGCCAGGATATGGTTAACGATCCCCGTTGCTGTTAAAACAGGGCGAGTATTTTGATAGTGGTAGTGTGAAAAATAACATGAGGCTGTTTGTCACTTTCACTGCTATTAGTCCCGCAACTTGAAAAGACTACATTTTTAAGTTTTATGGAGATACAGTAAGACCATGAACAATAATACATATCCAGATATGAAAATATATGATATGAGCACCTTCGCATAAGCACACACAATGATGTCTCGGAGAACATCTATGGCTAAGAATTGAAATATTTCTGCAGCCTGACGGCTTCTTCGCAGAGCACTTACACATAGAGAGCAAGCTGCGATGACCATCAGTCCTGTGAGCATCAGCCGCGAGCCTCCCATTCCTCTTGTCTCGATGGCAAAACTAAAAGATAAGAAGTCAAGACAGAAGGAGACTTCTAGTTGTCAGAGTGTAGTGTTTTTTTAATGTTCTCCAGACATCTGGAGCCAAACAAACCTGTGTGCGAGGAGGAGAAGAAACTGACGAAATGCCTGATTCTCTACAGTCATAAACTATAAGAAATATGCAGGGAGTGTCTCGAGAACAGATGATCACTTGGCAAAAGTAAAAGCATTTTGAGGAAAATCTCTCTTATGTAATGGAAAAAAGAGAGCAGAGAATAGATGTGTGCCATTGTTGTTTTAATAGAAGGCAATGTGAAAAAAATATATAAACACATTCCTCTGCAAGCATATGCATTTCATCAGAGGAAACAAGGCCCAAAATGTATCATCAACATCCCCCAAATCCCGAGATCCGCCATCTGTCCTCTTCATTTCCTTCATTGCTCTCTTCTGCTCTCCTCCTGCCAGCTCTGTGGTTTTCCTGCTCCTCCATGGCCACTTATCCAGCTCTGTGAGTGTCATTGAAAGACTCGAGTAGTCATTTTGTTGATGAGCAGCGTGGTGCCATTTCAAATGAACGTCACGAGCAGCTAAATGCCACTGAAGGTCAGCTGTGAACAAGGCGGGAACCGGCAGAGCCAGAAGGAGACATTTCATCTCCAGTGAATCCTGCTGAAGTGGTGCACAGCTGCAGCTGTGGAGGTCACTGTCAGATCCTGACTGTATTAATGAAAAACCAGACCGGTTTGTGTCAAAGGGAGGAATTTATTTGCCATAAATGGCTGACGTTAATGTTTACATCTGCCTTCAACGGCCACCAGGTAGTGGCGCTAGTTTCATACACAACCAAATGACAGACCTGAGATGATGAGACCATGTTATGTATTATTATCTACACATAGAAAAAAAGAAGAGTTCTTCAAATATAATACTCTCAGATAGATTTTTGGCATTGTGTGTGCAATAAAAATGATATATTCATAATAAAACATATAATTATATATATAGATATATTATTTTATTTTTCAATAATATCAATAACAACAATAATCATAGTAAATTACATATACAAGTTATACGTCACACAAATAAATAATTACAACTACTACTCTTATATCGATTAATTTATAAATGAATCAAAACTATAATACAGTCAGTAAGTCCTCACACATTCAATTAGTTTTAGGGATCCATCGATCTGGATTAATATATTGATTTAATGATCAAAGATTCAATAACATCGATGAAAACTGAAAACATCGATACATATCATCATCTTTAAGATACGCCTTTACTTTGAAATTCCCATGGCACATCTGTCAATGTTTCCATCCAAGTGCACCTCAGAGCACAGTAAGAAGCTTGCCTATTGATAGTAATAAAATATTAACAGTAATTAAATTGTCGATTGCAGGCCCCTGAGCCGAATCGAATCAAAATCGTAGTGAGGTGGACTTTGTGATAACAATGATGGTCACCGATGGTTTTGTCCAGTCATCAATACGGCCAAAGATGTGATTGCCCAGCATCCTCTTGTGTGTTGGTGGTGCTCTCCTCTCCTGGCGTCGTTGCGTTGATGATCAATGATCCTACACAAATACACACACGCACACAAACACACATATATACACAATTAGTCTTTATACAGTGTCAGCGACAATTGTAGACTTTGTAAATTACAGATTAAATAGTCCTTGATGTTCAAAATCTATTAAAGAGTTCTGGCAATAAAATCATCACTGTGATAAAAGGTCTTCGTGGTTCCAGGAGAAAATATAATATGCTAATTTGGCAAAGCAACAGGTAAAATGCACATAAATTGTTATGGCCTCGAACATAATATCTAGAAACTTAAAGGGGTAATAGTTGAAGGACTGGTGTAGCCAGGCATTTCAGCTAAAATGGAAAAAAAAAAAGACTTTAGCTCTACCCAAACAGCATAATCAGTGTTATTAGCATTCCAGTATTCTGCAAGATGATGTATGACATCTTTACCAGACATTTGGGTTGGAGCTGTCCTCTGTGTTCTGAGGTTTTTGGTTGTTTTTGGTTTTGCTCGATAGCACAGTGCCAGAACATTCCCCAAAATGTGGTCATGGGTTATTCATCAAATGAACTGCCCTTATTTAAACCCGCTCACCACAGTTATACATACTCTGTATTATTGAGCACCTTATGATAACAAAACCAGCTATTATCCACGTATTATCATACAAATTACATCTACTTTGATGGATGGATGTCAGCTTTCAAATGTGCGTTTGGACCTTTAGAATCAACATGATCACAGTATAATGACATTATCAGTCATTATCAACTCCATATTGTCTGTTGAATCTTACCTTCAGGTCTAAGTCACACTTCCTCTGGTTACCATGAGTGTCTCTCCTCCTCGTTCCAGCTCTGTCAGCCTTTCCTACACATAGAAGAGAAGACATTACTATCATTACTACTAACATCTGGACTCCTAACATGCCCCAGTGATGAAAAAAAAGTGCACAAGTGCCCCCTCGGACGCCCAAAACGTGATGCACCCTCGAGGGTGCCCTTCCAGTGGAGAAAACATGATGCATTGGCCTCTATGGTACCTCTCCGGGAGAGAAAATGTGATGCAGTGCCCACTAGGGTGCCCTTCTGTGGTGAAACATGATGCAGTTCTCTCTAGAATGCCCTTCCAGTAGAGAAAACATGATAAAGTGCCCTTGAGGGGGCTCTCTAAGTTGAGAAAACGTGATGCAGTTCCTTCCAGGGTGCCCTTCCAGTGAAGAAAACATCATAAAGTGTCTTATAAAGTTCACTTCCTGATGATAAAACATGAAGTGCCCTCTAGGGAGACCTTCCAGTGAATGAAACGAGATGCCCCAACGCATGCAGCTGCCCCTCAGACAGCCTGAATCCACCTCTGACAACTACGGATGTAACACCTCTACTACCTGTACTTGCAATAATCTAAAAACAAAACATTACCTTTGATATGCACTGCCTCTGTCCGCTGTGAGAACTGAGGATCATCTGGTCGAGCATCATCAGACTTCTTGTAGTAATACTCTTGATCAGGGGGACCAAATCTCTAGAAACACATACACATGATTTGACTGCTTGTAGGTAAACTGTTTTTCGAGAGGATCAAACTCACAAATCATGCTGCATATAGTTCTAATGCTGGATACCAACACACTCACATCCACATGCACAAACAGGCACATTCTACCTTGTCAGGCCACATGAAGCTAATGAAGAGAATGGCAGGAAGTCCAACGATGAAGACGTAGACCCCCCAGAGCCAGGGACGCTGGAGGGTGGCCATTAGGAGGCTCTCTATGATACCGGGCTGCAATACACATCTACTGTTACAGAATACTGTTATTTGATGTCTACAGTTTATCCAACCTACGGTGCAGCATACATAATTGTTAACAAGCAACAAAACAAAAACTGCAGTACCTCGATAATAACACTATGACCACGAAATGATCATGTGAAAGTAAAAAATGAGGAAAGGATTCGAATAAGAGAATGTTTGGGATTTAAAAAGGAATAGAACAAGGGACATCATTTAGGAGGGAGGCCATAAAAGCTACAGTACAGGAAATATGCTGACTGCATATTTAGTTATATATCCAAGCACCAGGTGTGTGTGAACCTGATTAAAACCTGAGACAGGTGTTGCCGCTTTGGGAAGCATATAGTAACTGTGTAATATCTTAACACGTTTTTTTAACTTTAATGACGGACTTTGACACGATTTATTATTCGTAAGAGTGTCCAAAATATAGTCAAAATAATAAACAATACTAAGTAAATGCTGACATGAGGTTGATCGGGATTTCATCCAGCCCATTACCTCTGTTACATGACCTGTACGTACATTAGATTGCTAAGAAAACCATATTTGTTTCAAAGTCATTTAAAAATATTTTAGAGCCATTGATTAATAACAGAACCATGAAGCTAAAAAAAACAAAAAATATAAAAAATGTTATAATACTCTTGCCTAATATTGATTGATTTGGATTTATTCTATCTACTTTTCGTATTGTTTGTTTATGTTTTATAATGGTAATAATTAACAATATTAATTAATTCTATTTATAATACAATCTGTACGTCTACAGTATGTGTACGACGTGTGTTGTCATCAATACATATTTTGCAAAGAAAAATAATTCCCTTTTCCTAATAGTGATAAATAGACGTATTTTATTCAAAATTAAAATTGCAATAAAACGTACCTGTGCTGCAGCAGACACAGGTGTCACGCTGGCTATCAGCATCATACACAGGCACACAAAGCTCATCTCCATGTCTGAAACACACACCTCCATGCGCACACATTCATACACATATAAGATATATAAGACGTATCCACATACAGTACACACAGTAACGGTAAATACACTGCATGTGCACACACAACGTGAAACCAATTCACACGCAAAGACTCTGAATGAGGAGCAGGAGAGAACTATCTCGATCCAGGACTACAAAGAGAGAAAGATAAGCAAGCAAGAACGAAAGAAGATTATAGACACACACTACTGATAGAGCAAAGAAACATACACAAGGGGAAGAGCAAGCAGAGAGGGACGAAAAACAAAAGATTAAAAAAGGGAAAGAGGTGAGAGTAAAAGGAAGAGAAGCACAGAGGAAGCTACAGAGGACCAAACAGCACGCGTCTACCTTTTTAACACAGCGATTTCTCACACGGTTCACAAGTAATGTGACTTCCTGAAACGTTGGACTTTGGTCCCAGGTCACTTGCTGACAAGGCTGCAGAGCGTGCAGTGGCCACATTAGAGGAGTGTTAACATGAACGGCCTTTCATAGTTATGAAGTATAGCTGTGTTCAGTGTATGTCGTTTGTCATGCTCCAAATAAATGCTCAGTGTAAGGGTAGTATTTAACAGTATTTTAATACTAAAGCTGCTGATAAATAATGAATGATTGGTTTCAACAACAGTAAAAAGCATTTAAAACATCTATGAGACAGAAACAGATTCAAAGCAAGGAAGGTTCACTTTATTGAAGAACAATACAAGCGTAATATAATCAAATTGCTTGTGTTTCATATGCATTCATTTAGGACATAAGATAAATAAGCAGTCGTTGCTCTGGCCACCATAAAAAAAAAATCATATACGTTTTTATTTTGAAATTATAATTGTGAAAAAAAGGCTTCAAGGGACTTACAAATAACCTTTATAGACAACACTACACCTGTAACAGACAATGTGCTCAGAGGGATAGTTTGACATGCCGAAAATGTTGAACTATTCCTTTAAACTGAAATACGTTCTACTTGAAGCGAATATGAGGGTCGAACGTTTATGAGCACTTTATTTTATTCAGGTAGAATGAGACATTTCGACCAATTGAACAATCCACTGGACTTGTGTTTATGAAGTTTAAGATGATGCATCTGTGCCATGTTCAGCTCTCATAACAGGACGGTAATCACAAGCATTTATGGAGATTTACCGCGCCCTACTGGTCAATGTCATAACTGAAGACACGTGTTGGACACAAGTCAAGTGGACACTCTTTTGACTTTTTAATGTTCCATAGTAGTGTACTGGTTAGTTCTGTAGTAGCCAGTATGTTATTTTACTATGCAATCCTATACAGCCCGTTCCACAGGCACATTTCTGTGTCTGATCGGGGCATAAGTTGCTACACACATTATAATGAATTCAATGACCGCCAAATATGTTCACATTCTCCTTTAAAAAGTGTGCAAAATTGTAAGAGGCAGAAATTTTGAAGGAGTGAAGAAACAAGGACATTAAGACAGCTTTACAATAAAGTACAAACAATTTTTACAATTTGTTTAAACAAAATGAGAGGTTTGTGGTGTATTTACATTGTTTAAAGCCGGATGTTGATTTCACTGCGCACACCGTCACCACCAAAAACACTCTCGTCCGACAGGAAGCCGCTGCCTGTTGCCACCGTGGTGACGTTGTGTTCGAGGGTTGTGATTCGCTGTTTCAGTCGAAGCTGGGAGGAGTTGAATTCACTCTGCAGACGGGCCAAACACGTCTGAAAACAAGGTGATCGGTAGTTGTTACCATTCTTGTTTGGAGCCTGGCAACAGTACCAGCAGCAGCTGCAGTAGTGGACTAACAGTACTGACCTGTAGCCGATCCAGACTGGTTTCCAGCCTCTCCACCTTCTCCTCGAGCTCCTCCCCTGCGGACACATTCACTTCATCCAGAAGCCCCTCTTTCCGCAGGATGTCCCGCCCCCTCTGCTCCAGCTGGGCCCTAGCGTGGGGGAACTCCTGAAGCGCATCCATCAGGTCTTGTTTGGACAGGCAGAACAGGTCTGAGTATCCCAGACTGCGAATGTTAGCCGTGCGCCGGTTCCCCATCTTGCTGCCGCTGATGTTCAGGATGCTGATTTCTCCGAAGCAGCTTCCCGAAGTCAAAACAGCAAATTGGGTGACTCCGTCCTCCCCCACCACTGCCAGCTGGCCATCTTTGATTATGTACATCTCCTTACCCACATCTCCCTTTTAAAAAAACAAACAGACATAGAATATACATCAGAGTTTTATAAGAATGGGGCGAGAATTGAAATCGAGCCGAGTAGCCGAGTGTTACTAGTAGTAGCAATGCAGGCTACAAACAGCAGTATATGTACTGCAATCAATTGTAAAAATACCTGGTAAGAGTTAAAAGTACCCTGTGATGTTTTGATGCTTCGTCCTCCAACAGTACCAGTAAAATTAATACTAACCTTTCTACAGATGTAGTCTCCAGGACTGAAAACCTGCGGTCGAAGTTTTAATACCAATTCTACAAGGAGGCCTGCCTCGCAGTCCTGGAAGATACGCACCTATATGTCCACACACACACACACACACACACACACACACACACACACACACACACACACACACACACACACACACACACACACACACACACACACACACACACCAAAAAAACATTCAGGTCCTGTGTGTGTTTTAGCAGAATTCAACTTTTGATGATGACATAATGCTTTCCACTGATGGAAATTGATTTTGGGTCACATGGTCTACATGTGTCTCTACCTTCTTCAGTGTGTCCAGGTGAACATTAATAGCAATCTCTGCTCTCAATTTATTGGGCAGGCTCCTTAGCACTTCCTGTTCATCTATCGTCTTCTGATTGGTCCAGAGGTAGTCAAACCAGCGGATGACGCGCTGCTCTAGCACCTTGCTCACATGCCTGAATTGCATGTAGTGTTTCAGTGTGTCTACGCGGCTCTGAAAGCCTGCTCTTGTGGCATTCATATTGGAGATCATGGATCCAACATTGCCCACGATGGAGGCAAAAATCAGAACACCAACCTATGACAGAAGTACCAGTGTTAGTATTGTGAAACTGGGATCCACACACACAAAAAAGGCTTTTGTGGATCAGTCAAGGTAAGATAATATCAGCGTAAGTACACCTTTGCTATAGACTTACCAGAAAGTCAAATATCAGGAACAAGTATTCCTCATCTCTAACAGGAGGAGGCGTCTCTCCAATGGTGGTCAGCGTCAGAGTGGACCAGTACAGACAGTATATGTAGCTTCTGGTCAAGGAGCCAAACTCAGGATCTGATGCATTGGGATAAACCCAAGAATCAGAGCCCAGTCCGAGGACCTTGGAGAAGCTGTAGTATCCACAGGCATTCCAGTGGATGATCACCAGGATGTACAGAACCAGTTTACAGATGCGGAAAGCGTTGGGGTAGCCCGTCCGTGTCTCTGTGCGTTCGAACCACTCAAACAGGCGTGACAGACGGAGCAGCCGGTTGAATCGAAGAAGAGGTGTGTAGCTGATTCCGACGGCCAGGTACAGGAGGTCGGTTGGGAGGATGGAGCAGATGTCACTTTTACACTGCAAGGTACGAACGTAGGCTTCTCTCAGACGCCGTATGTCTTTCACCATCAAGCCTTGATCGAGGAAACCTTCACATAGATGATCAACATAGATAAATAAATCAAGGAATGAATGTGGGAGTCTCTCACATTACAAACATATTAGTTAAAACCTGGCGGCAACCTCCGGGTTTGAAGCCAATGGAAGTGCCTTGAACTTGCATTCTTTCTAATGGCCAGCAGGGGGGCAAACCAATGAGTGAATATGTCCTCTTCCTATATGGAGTCTATGGTTAATACCAAAGTTTTTTATCAAACATTTTCAAGTAGCATTTATACCAGCAGTTTTTTCAGTACCTGTGTGGAGACGAACAGCTATATCCAGGATATAGACTCCATCACAGATGTAGTCCAGTACCAGCCACACCAACACATTCCTCATCTGGAGCTCATCGAAACAGGCCCTACAGAAGCACATACACTGGGACACTGGCAAATGGAATAAATCACAGCAGCAAGTACAATATTCACTCTTCTTTTAGTTCTGATTTTGGTCCCTACCAACCCCTGAGGGAAAAGTCTGGATCTTTAGCCCCTAAATGCTCGACTAGTTCCTGCTAATCGCTAACTTTGTCTGCCTACTGTTTAGTGCTGGGCAGGTTGTGTACAGTGGATTTATCGGCGCTTTTTTTGCTGCTGGAGAGGATGCTGATATGAGTGGTACGACTTAAACAAATGGAGGTGTTGAAGGAGTTGTCGTAGTTCTAAGCCTCTTTCACACATGTTGGGAATATTTCTGTCTTGCGCCTTTTTCACACATGACATGGAAATACCGTAATGAATGGGGCAAGGGACAGATCCAGCAGATGACCGTAATGCAACACTTATGGATGCCAACTGCCATAAAACTCAACAGAAGAAGAAGAAGAAGAAGATGGGGGGTTAAGGTCAGATTCCCTGACTATCAATGTTTCTAAACCTTTCTGGGATAGAATGGATGTGTGAAAGGGACTTTAGTCAGTGGCGTGCCTAAGACATATGTTTCACAGTAGTACAAGAAGAAGAATTGCCACTATTATTGTTGTACAGGCCCAAGAATTGTTCCCAACCTGACAACTAGCAGGGTCCAGTTATAAAATACAGCAGCACCGATCACCATCAGCCAGTAGTAGTATGCATCATCAGATGGTGATAAGACCTCGACATTACACTTCCTCTTTCTGACAAAGAGGGAAAGAAAACAGAAAGGCAGAGATTTATATGCAAGCCAGTTGATGTTTTAATGTGTACGCATTTTGACTTTTGTTTTTGTTCTTTTTTCTATCTTACGTGCGTCTAGAGCGTCTGATTTCATGCTCTGTATCAGAGCCGCTGTGGCTGAACCTGCTGGGCGGGGCTTGCATGTCCGTGTTGGCGGGGCCTCTGAAACGTTCCAAGAAGGAATCCGGTCTCTCCGTCTCCTCAGCCAAACTCTTCTGCGCCCATTCTCTCAGAGTCATCACCATACTAACTATCCTGAAGACAGGTAGACAGACAAATGTGAAAAAAGGACACCGGTAATCAGCTCTTTTGAATAGTCAAAGAGTTAACAGTCAACATGTAGATTAGTTATTTGTCAGCGGTCATACCTGGACAGAGCACCTCGCCCATGCAAGGAATTCTGGGAATTAATATCTCTTCTGTCAATGGCCGCCATCCTCTGAAGCTCTGAGGAAGTATCATCACACATCGACTGTGCTCTACACACAGGTACCCCAACACACACACATCACAAATACATAAATGGAATAATTCAGTGACTAGTATCTCCTTCTCCCTCACACCATTTTTTAAATATAAAAATATTGATTGGTGCAGCTTTAAATGCAAAATGTAGACATTATTAAATGATATAGCTGTTAATAAAATACACAACTCTGTAAACCTAGGGTGGAATGCAATGCAAAACCAAAAAGATGAACCTGCTGCCAGCCTCAATCCAATATCACTCAAAGTTTTAGCGAATGAATGACCGACACTTTCTGTAGTCATCAAAGCACTCTACGTAAATGTTGTCAAATAGTTTATGATTCCTTTTGGATTTATGTATTACAAAGCTTTAATTTTCAATAGATGTTTATATTTTACACAATTGCAAAATTACTTGTGTCATAGTGGCAGCTATCCCTATGCATGTACAGACACTAGCATCATACATACGATCATGAAAGTGTGTGTGTGTGTGTGTGTGTGTGTGTGCGTGTGTGTGTGTGTAGCCTACCTGCTAGGTGTGCTGTCAGCTCGGTCACTCTCGTCCTCGGTCCACGTTTTCACAGACAGCCTATGTGAATCCTGCACTGGACCTGTCATACTGCACAGACAAACACACACCACAGCAAGGCTCAGTTCATTTCCATCATCTCCAACATACCCAACTGAAGATACACACACACTAATAGAAACACACAGGCACAAACTATAAAATGCAAGTAACGACATACACTCACATTAAAAGAGGCTCACGCAGACTGACAAACACACACAACTCACTAACCAGCACACACACACACACACACACACACACACACACACACACACGCAATGATGTACCCACAGTCAGAAAAAAGGGAAGGTCATCCAGTACGAGGTCACCTGTATCAGGCATCACCACGGATACCAGATGGCATAGCAACAAGCTGTATAGTAGTTATGACAACAGATCAGAAGAGGGGGAGACAGAAAGATGTTTAAACTCAACTAACCTGATAGATTTTCCAGATATCCAAACGTCAGCCCATCAATCTGTCAGTTCAATTCCCGTCCTTAGTTGAGCGGCATCCTATCTCCATCTGTTTAGTTCGATTCACAAGACTGTCATCACGAAGGGCTGGAAGAGGTGGATGGGTGGATGGAGTGAACAAATCAGCGGCTGATTGATCAAAGGAATGATCACGTGGCACCCTAAAAGCATATTTTAAATTGCAAATGGTGTGTGCATGTGTGTTCCTTTTCACTAGCGAGCTCATCTGTATTCAACAGCCTTGTTTGAAGTGGCCTCTGAGCTGAAAGTGTGTCTTCATGTGCGTACATATCCTCCTGATTACTGAAAGAGAAGTCTTTTTATGTATGCACACGGGAATTGAGGTATTGGAATTGGAATATCGATCTTACATTTAAAAGATCTGTTCATTTAGGTTTAAGGATTCCAACTATACGGGTCTAACATTTGAGAGACTGGGTTTTTAAACATGTACTCAGAATTATAATCTTGTAGTGATGGTCTGTTAAAGGACTCGTTCAACGTTTGGGAAAACCTGCTTCTTTGGTTTCCTTCCAAAATGTAGATGAAAAGACGGGGGAGCAATGACCATTTAAAATAAAAAATACAAAACTATATTATATAACATGACAGAATATGCTCATGTAAGCGCATATTACAAGGGAGCCCCGGGAAAACACAAAATAGATAATCTAACGTTAACAATGAACACAACACACACAATACAGGGAAACATTGTCATATCTTTCTCACTTCTTTTGTCTTCCAGTAGTGTCACGATCAGGCTTTGCCTTATGTGTGTGTTTTTCGGTAGCTCCTCACTCTTCAACTCAGCCACTCCCTCAGCACCAGTCCAACTCCCTTCACCTGTCCCTTATCAGTAATCAAGCACTCCCTCATCAGCACAACTCTCCTCACCTGTTCTAGTCACTTCTTAAACCCCTGTCTCTCACTCACTCACTGCCAGGTCATTGTTTGTTCTACCCGCCCCTTTGTCTCGTCCTGTTCCCGGTTTCCCCGTCTGCCTGCCCCTGCCTCGGTTTCCCTCTGGATTTCCCCCCTCATCTCTTGTGCTTGGACTCCCTGTTGAGTGGTAGTTATTTCCTTTTGGTGTGGAATAAAACGCCTTTTTCACTCATCTACTGTCTGCGCTTGAGTCCTTATCATGCCTCGTGACAAGTAGTTATAGTTTACGCAAGTGCTGTCTGTTGGAACGGAGAAATCAATGATAGGATTTAACATTAGCAGCAGGCACAACCTATTATGTTGAGGTAGCTAGCAAGCTGGATAGTAAATAACATTAGCAATAGATATGTAGCCTGGTGGGAAAACTGATGTTGCCACTAGAGGGCGCTGTACTCCAGAGAAAGCTGGGACGTAAAGAGCGAAACCGGAAGTGAAGTCTTTCTTTTCGAGCGGATAACCTGTGGAGCGTTAGTTGTTTTCCGTGTAAGTAAATATGTTCTAAATTTTATTTCTGTACAATATGATCAAAAGATGTACGTTAATATGTGTATAGAAGTCAGGAAATGTATTGTTTGACGCAAAATGCGCCGATGGTGATTAAATTGGTCTGATCGTTACGGATGTTGTTAGCATGTGCTGAGCATTCAGGAGAGAGCTAGAAGGCTAATAACGTTTGCTAATAACAGTTATAGACCATCCTACATGCATTCTGTTATCTTTCATGTTTAAGAACATAATGTGTGTACTGTACTGAAGATGTTTATTCCTCGTTTGTGTAGTGCTGTATGGGATTGGTGTGCGTGGCGCCAAATGTGCATTTAAGCTAGCAGAAAGATAAGAAGTTGTGAGTATATTGAGACATATATGTATATTCTCTTTGTTAATGGACCAAATGTTTCATGTTTTCATTTCAGAGTTAACTGTGTGGTATTTGTTTTTTTTTCTTTTTACTAACAGAAGAGTTACCATTACAGTTATTTATGCATTGACAGTGTGCACTAGATTAATGCACTGTACAGGTTACTGACCAGGGTTTTGAAGAGAGAATTTGTCTACAGTGTAACTTTAAATGTACAGGAACATCTTTGTTAAATCTATCACCAGTTTAACATCCCACATTTATTTAATACTACTCTTCTCTTTAAGAGTAGTCGAGAAATAAAGATCCCTAAAAATAGTTTTGTGTCCGGTGTCATATAATATTTCACCGGCCTACAGATAATTCCATATTAGACTTTTGTTGACCAAGTAGCACGGATGGGAATAATATGAGATTCCTTAGTGGTGTGCTGTTCCTCACGGTGGAAGCTACAGGCTAAGCTGCTGCCCAAATCCTGTCATGGATTTCCTTCCGTTCCAGTGGAATTTAGCATAATATGCGCGTACGCCACATGAGCTGGTTGCAGTATTTTTTCCAACATGTTCTATAGCCTCCAGAATATTTATATAAATATTTTTTTAATATGGCTTTTGTTCCCCTTTAATGGGATTGCAGTGACGCTGCTGCTCGCACACATCCACGAACGAGCTAATGTACCTACATTGAGATAAAAAAACAGCAGCAGTTGCCTTCAAAATAAAAGCAACTGTAGTCCGTGCATGATGTACAATTATTTACGTTTTATTCCTTTAGACTTTGGTGTCTGTTGTAGACTGGTTTTGTGGTAGATCATCTCTGAAGTAATCTGACTGTACTCAACACTGGTTTTGATAGGAATGAAGAAATGTATTTCGATCACATACTACAATATATAAGGTTTTAAGTCCTAGCAGCGTGATGTCACAGAGTGAAGCCCTAGCAGAGAATATGATCAAAGCCAAATTCTCTGGATGACGTCACGGAGTGAAGCCAAACATTCCATATCCATGGATGCATAACAGAGAGGAGCTTCACCTCTCACCACAGCAAGACTATAATCTTATTGTTTGATTAATCTACATATTTGCTTATATAGATTCGATTTATGATACACCTTGTGATGTTGTTGGAGACGCCGACGAGGGAAGCGAGCAGGAGCACTCGTTAACCTGCGTCCACGGGGACTCAGAACTGCGCTCCTGTCAATTCACCTGGCGAACGTCCACTCTCTGGCCAACAAGATGGATGAGCTTGCTCCTCAACAAACTAAAAAAGGACTTTAGCAGATCCGCCGCCCTGTGCTTCACTGAAGCCTGGCTCGGTGAGCACATCCCGGACAGCGCATTACATCTGCCGGGCTTCCAACTCCTCCGAGCGGACCGCGTAACGGCTCTGTCGGGGAAAACGAGGGGAGGCGGAATCTGCTGCTACGAGGTTGGCGTACAGATGTCACAGTAACCTTTTCTAACTCCTCCCTATTTTGGAGCAAAACCGCCTAAAATAACATACCCAAATTAAAATGGCTGTAGCTTCTGAACCACTCTGACTATATGCATCAATGAGGTCTTTCTAGAAAGAAAACCCCTAAGGTTCCTTGTGGAAGTGTCAGAAAACCTGTAGGTCATACAGAAACGGAGCAGTGGGCCTTTGAAGTCAGTAAAAATTGAAGATTTTTGTCCGCCTAAAATAAAGCGTCTTTCAGTATAAATAACTGCCTGTGGCTGTATCTGTACAGGTATAGGGCTGTAACTACACTATTGGTGAACAACTGCCTCAAATTTGAAGAAGATTGGACAAAGTATGACTATTCTACAGTGTTTCTTCCATGAAGAGATCCAGGCGGAGCTCTAAAAGGATATTTGGAGACCCAAATGGACACATGGTAACCAAAAAAATGTTTTTTTTGTTTTTTTTTAAATCAAATCAATTACTTTTTCAGTCCACTAGATGGTGCTGAGTTGTTTTCTGGTGAGGTCAGCAAAGGTCCCGGGTCAGCGTGATTGGTAGGAAGTTGGTCAAAACAAAGATGGAGACATCTGGCCTCACAACGGGGTTAAATCTACCAACAGTAGCCAGGCTCATGGGGAGAGTGCAGCGCATAACTGTCTCTCTGCCCTTGACGTCCACGCATCGCAAGTTATACTGAGTTATATAACTCTTATATCCTACTTATATAAGTTATAGTTCATATACTGAGTCCACACGTTTGCATTTAGTTAAGTTAGACTATGTAGTAATACAAACGGTTCAGTTTGTCAGGTTCATGCATTTATGACATTGTTGGTCAGTCTGTCTGCTTGACAATCCTATTTAGCTGCAATAAAAATGATTGAAGTGAGATGAACAAACTGAAAACTTTATCTTATTAGATAAAACATGTTGACACAGTTTTCCTTTGGGGACATAATTTGAAGTTGAAAAAAGTAATAAATCGCAATATCGTATCGTGACCCAAGTATCGCGATAATATCGTATCGTGGGATCTCTGGTGATTCCCACCCCTAGTAACCAAATGATATTCTGACACACTAAAGGTGTTTCTCCCTTTATATTTTGATATTATTTTCCTTTTATTTTTAGCCTTTGCAAAAGCTATGTATATACAGTATGGTCGAAGACGTGGTGTGTGAGTAGCGGACCTGCTGTGTGTAATGGCTGCGACAGAGCGCACGATCGAGTATGCCGGTAGCTCATTTACGCAAAGGTTATATGTTGGTTTAAGTAAGAAACAGACAAGGTTTGCACTATAAGTACCAGCGTTTACTGAAGGCACCAGTTCCATGGTAACATCCGCTAGCACATTGTCGGGTCTGTAATGTGTCTTTTTCCGTCGAAATGCTGCAAGATCCGACTTGCAGCGGTTATGGTGACTTTAGACAGTGTGTGTTTGGGCTCTGTTTGTGACAAAATCCATAAGAAATGAAAGTAAATAGATGTTTTCTTTGCAAAGATGAGGATTTGGGGCATGCTGGGATACCAAACACGGCCATGTTTGTGACATATTTTGCGGAAGCAAGCCGTACGAACGGAAGGGGAGGGGATCGCGGACTCCGGCGTCGTCGCGGGGTGCAGGAGGTAAAGGAATCATGCAGCCCTCACTTAGCAACACTTTTCATAGACTGAAAACCTTTTTATTCACCGCGGGACTTTCCCTCGTTCATTCTGGTTGGTGTTTACATCCCACCTCAGGCCAGTGTGAGTGAGGCTCTCCAACACCTGCTGAGCAGATCACCAACATGGATTACAAACACCCAGACTCCCTGCTCATTGTTCTTGGAGACTTCAACAGAGCAAACCTCAGCAAAGAACTGTACCGAGTCCGATTGCCGACTCGGCTGAGACTCAGGATGAATTACGCGCCAGAATCTGGCCAAATACACCGGCCCGAGTCCGGCTGCCGACACTGCTATTAAATATGAAGCTGAAGTCAAGATGTAGTTAGCCTAGCTTAGCATAATCTCTGGAAGGATAACAGCTAGCTAACTTTAGCTTGGCTCTAGACTAAAGTGAACTAGAATTACATGTCATGTCATGTTGCAGTATACATCCAAGTCTTCTCTAAAATGTCATCACTTCATCATTTATCATTTGTCATCATATTTAGACGTGTGTAAATTGCCATACAGTAATTGGCATATAATTCTTGATTAAGGTCCAAAAAGGTGTTTTGTGAGGTCAGTTATTTTTGACCACATCATTCTAAACAGTTCATCAATGCAAGTGGAAGTTTGAGCAAAATGTGAAGAAACTTGCTGTTCCTGTAATAATGCGTTCATGACAATGGGACGGACGTAAGGCCACAGCGACCTTCCTCTGACAAATTTCTAATCAGTTTGAGTCCAGGTGGACGTTTGTGGCAAATTTGAAGAAATTTCCTCCACGAAATTAAACCAGACAGACGGACAGACAACCTGAAAAGATAATGGTCTGTCGCCGATGCAAAGACATAAAAATGACACATGCCAGCGACTCTAAAGCTCTTCAACACGCTGTAGTTTGTTTTAGGGACACAATGTCGTTAAGAAGGTGAGTGTATTCTCAAAATGTTGAACTATTTCTTAAACCTTGACATTGGTGTTTTAGTAGATTGAAATCCATGACATCCATCTGCAGGTCTATGGAGCCTGGAGTGTGCCATCAAAATAATTCAGTGTTTAATTATAATGAACTAAGATTTGTTTTTATGAAATTGATTTGTCAGCTGTTTAACAACAATGTTTGTGATATTATATATTAATATAAAAGACTGGAAATTACTGTTAAGACAAAGATAAACGTAAAACAAATGGAAAAAGAGGCAAACACTAGTACACCATGTAACACAAATCTAAAATCAAAAGCCGACATTTAAAATTCAAATACAACATTTAAATTGTACGGCTGATTTTTTTATCCCAACATTTCCAATAACAAAAAGTAGACTAAACAGCGAACTTACCCAAATACTAATGCACCAGATGTGTCGTAATCCACTGCCTCACACTTCCCACAAGCCAAACACTCGTTAAGCTTTGGTGCAACAGGGTATTTTAGATCATACCTTTTTTATGTTTAAAATGTTTTGAATATTATGCTAATCTAAGCACTTTTACAGTAAGGTTAACATACATAAATTTGTCTTAAATTCAATGGGGTTTTTTGTTTGATGCCTGAAAGAAGGTCTGTGGTTAACAAGCTGAGTAGATTTGAACATTATTCCCAGACGGTCTCCTATCTAAGTACTGCCTCTTAACCCTGCTTAACCTCTGTGTTCAGGGTGGTACGACCGATGCACACAAGCTGTTTATAGGTAACCGTTTGCAGCATCACTCTTTTTAAAGTGTTCACTTTAAAGACAGAAAAACATTAAAAACATAATTGAAGTGCAGATTTAATGACTTTATAGCTTTAGTTTTCAAATTCATTCATTTCCCAACTCGATTCCAGTCAACTGACGGACTCTGATTAAATACTCACAACATCTTGAACTACTCCACATGGGACAGAAACAAAAAAAGAACAAAGAAATAGAAAAACAATCAAACACATGGAAAAATGCTTTTATTGAACAGTATTGATTTGATTTTACACTGAGTTTTGGAAGTATTGCTATAGTGTAAAGCAATCATTTTGCCCACAGTGAAATTCCACAGGGCCGATATAGACACGCACTCCGGATAAAAGAAAACAACAGTAGTGGAATGTTAACATCAGCAGCAACAGACCTGGAACATGTTTAAACACGTCCACATATTCAGCTGCAGCATTTAGACAAAGAAATATTCATATTTTAGACTAATTCAGGAACAGTCTCAGAACTGAAGTCATATTTCAATCATGGCTGTTTATTCATTTCAGATGACAACAATGTAGAGAAGAAACAGCTGAACTTTTATTCCTCTAAAATGTCGCTTCAATGTGTTTCTAATATCGGGGTTTGATTAACGTTACGGGTCAAGAAATATTTTCAGGGATTCTTATGCAGCATTCAGGTTTTTAATACCGTCAGATTGAATATAATATATAATCCACACATTAATGGGATTGTTAAAGTTTTTTCTGGATACATTTATTTTGGGTCAATTCATTGATAAATGTATTAATGCATTACATATCAATTGGGTTTTAATGGATTGTCTGCAAGTCTACTACTAACCAAATAGCATGAAACTGTCACCATAATTAAAGAATCAAGACCCTTGTTAAGATTCATATTAAGATATGACATTCATGTTATTAAGTCAGTTTCTGGTTTTAGCCCTTAAAAGTCCTTAAAGATGATCCATTAATCATACCTAAACGTATGCCTCATATAAATATATTGCATCCATTAATCATTCATCCCCTTAAAATCCCATTAAAACAGCTTTACCCACATCTGTTTTAATGAGTTAGTACATGGACCTACATTAATAGCCTATAGTCGAGCACAGCTTTGGTCATACATATTATCTCTTCTTTAAAAAGGCCAAAAGGTGTTCAGCAAAGAATATCGTATTATGGCTTAAGTGCAATAAATGCTCAAACTGTGAATCGGCTGGCACGTTGGAAGATGCATCAGAACTGAGTCGACATATCGTGAGGCAGTGACACATGGGAAACTTTGAGGCAATGCAGCCAGCAAGAGGAGGCCAGACTGCAGGAAAGAGTGTTAAGACCCTGAAGTGCTGAGGCACAACTATCACCTTGATTCTTCTGCTTCCAGCAGGACTGAGAGATGATAAGTGATCATCGTCTTTAAATGTTCCCGTGTATCACAGCCGTTACATTTAAAGAAGACAATAGAGCTATGTTCACTCTCTTTATACTGTATCTCTAGACTGTGTGTGTGTGTGTGTGTGTGTGCGTGCGTGCGTGCGTCCGTCCGTCCGTCCGTCCGTCCTTTACGCCTTCTTCATGCCTCTCCCCATCAGGCAGGCGAAGATGGTCATCACCATCTTCTGGTTGATCTCCACCAGGTCCTCAGGCAGGGCGTAGACTTTGGCCCCAATCTTCCTTGCCATGGAAACGGCATACCTGGTGCAGGAAAGGGTCATGGCTAGCATCACTATGGCAACGTATCAGATCGGTCATTGTATTTCTGCTTGACACTTTCTCAAATCATCACTGGGGTTTTTTTACCAGCTGAATTTGGAGTTGTATTTGTGTCAAAATTCTGAGCTTCCTAAAAAGAATTTGCAAGCACATAAATGATATGTTCATCCACATGCACTGGAGCCCTTTTCACCCTGGACTAGTATTACCGGAGGACCTCTAGTAGTTTGTCATAATTGCTTGATGTCCGAGGTTGCCTCTGCCATCTGACATACATGATCTTGATTATTTTTATTGCTTTACCTGTATCTATAAATGCTGCTGTAGCGAAAAAATGTCCCCTTGCGGGATTAATAAAGTTTTTTATATATATATACAGTATATATATACCACCGTTTTAACAGCATTTTGGGTGCATTCAGGAAATTCATCTTGCTACGCAGCATGGAGACCCACTCATGTCGGACCAAGAGGTCTCTGTGTGTATTATATAGACGTAAATAGGCCAACATCTAAATCCCGTGAGATTCCCTGATAATACGAGTACTGTATGAATAGGGCTTCAGTGCACAGCATCCATAATATCCAGCTATCATTCTCCTAGAGCTTCTCTAGTGGCCGAATCGGATTGGAGACAAAACAGCCAATCAGAAATCGACCTACATTAATTCTGGGTGGAATCGTGGCCCACTG